AGTACAAAATGCCACATATTTTACAGAGCTTAATGTTCAGCACACCCTGTTTCAATACCCACCATACACTAGTGGTCTTCATGTAGACTGGAGGATGATATGAAATGGCTACACATGTTGCCATTGTTACATGTAATGAAAATATAAATTATGTGGAATAATCATTAGAATACTCTAATGTGACTTAGAAATAAAGCAAATATAATGTTTAAATAATAAATAAAACAAATTGAAGAGCATAGGTGTGTATGTGTGAGAAGTAAATGTATGTGTGAAGGCAGTGGGCTATAACTACATCGCCAGTCCAGCAACGCTCAGCCTCTCCTTCCCCCGATGTGACATCACAGGATTACACACAGTGCAGCACGGCAGCAGCCACATGTCTCCGAGTCAGCTAGGTGACAGACTGGCTGAACTGTGTCGTGTTGCTCAGAGGATGGTTCAAGTGCAGAGTTGTATTTTATGATGCATTATGTATCAATTTCATTGTCTATCATAGCAAGTTTTGATCATTTTTGGTGTATGCACTTTGAAAATCATTTGAATTAGGCTCACCTTGTTCTCAATAAATCATTTAACTCTGAACCTCATCAAGTTTGTACTATATTTTCTTTATTTCTAAGTCACATTAGAGCATTGAATCATATTTATGTTATATTTCTTTATTTCTAAGTCACATGTTTATGAAAATAAACACTAAAACAGCCGGCGGTCGGTGAAGAATTATGAATATATTTGACTGCAAAATTTAACAGGTATTATTAAAGGACAGACTGAACCAGTCGCTCAAAATTTTAAGGCTGGATTTAAATTTTTCTTTTTTTTTAATTGAAAACCTTTAAAATTTTCTTATTTGCATAAATTTCTGGTTGAAAAACTATATTTCCAATAGACCCCTTGAAATTCTTCCATGAACTTCAAGGACAAGGTAGGCTCTACCAGGGGATAATATTACAGGTCAATTGTGAAATGACATATTAAACATTAGCTATTTCTTATCAGATACTGATGTACTGACCATGGTCGTACATGTTAGTTAATGTAAAATGAGATGAATCATATAACACTCAATAGCCCATAAAACATGTAGCTATAACTTCTTTATCGAGTCCTGAGACGTCCACTTTCTCACCATTTCAGTATGCCCGAGTCCTCTATTTTCTCTCATGTACGTCAGAGACTCCGACATTTCTTAATACCTCATATCGTCTTTAGAGATTTGAAATTGAGAGAGAACTACAGTCAACCCTCACTTTACGCGGTTAATGTAACCCATAGGGTACCGCGGAAAGTGAGAAACGCGAAAATTGAATAACATAACATGTGGGATTAAATGAAATAGAGACCAGCTGACCCCCAAACTCCACTTTTTCCGACACAATACCTATGTTCTAGTAAAAATAACATCTTAATTTTATGATGGTACATGCACACAATTAATACTTAAGAGAAATAGAGAAATACAGTCGCCAAGTTAATGTCCATTCAAATAATGGACTCGACTCCCTCCCCCTCTTCTCACAGTACACTCACTGGCTCTTCCCGCTGAGAAATTTTGGGGGGAAAACCAGGTATAGTAATAAATAATTCCTCAAACTAAAGTTAGGATAATATAATTGACATTGCTGGATTCCTTGTAAGACCAGGAATATTTTGAATATAAATGTCATATATTTTTCACAAAAGATAACATATTTACTCAGAGTAAACATTACATCTAAAATTTGTATGTCTAATGCAAAATCTATGATGTTTACATTCAAAATGATCATCAAATTGTAAGAATTCCAGCAATGTAAATTATATTCTGGCCGGGTAATTTGTATGAATTTTATGAGCTAAAACAAATATCTTCAGTTAATAAAAAAAAAAATATTCTTCAGACACTATCTGTCAATCAAAGTACCCCACCTTGCTTTCCCCCCTCTTCCAACAGAGCCAGATGGTCAGTCCGTCCCAACCCTCCCCCCAACCTCCCACCAACCCTCCCTTCAAGAGAAAGGGTGGGTGAAAAAACTAGATTTTAACATTTAGTATTAAATATTACCTCAGATTAAAGTTAGGATAATATAATTGACATTGCTGGATTCCTTGTAAGACCAGGAACATTTTGAATATAAATGTCATATATTTTGCACAAAAGATAACATATTTACTCAGAGTAAACATTATATCTAAAAATTTTATGTCTAATGCAAAATATATGATGTTTATATTCAAAAAGATCATCAAATTGTAAGAATTCCAGCAATGTAAATTATATTCTGGCCAGGTAATTTGTATGAATTTTATGAGCTAAAATAAAAATCTTCAGTTAATAAAAAAAAAAAATTTCTTCACACATGCCAGGTGGTCGGTCGCCGGTCCCTCCCTCCCCCCCCACCCCCCACCAACCGTCCCTACCAGATAAATGTGTGGGAATACCAGACTGTTTACCTTTTTAGTAATAAATAATAAATCAGACTAAAGTTAGGATAATATAATTGACATTGCTGGATTCCTTGTAAGACCAGGAATATTTTGAATATAAATATCATATATTTTGCACAAAAGATAACATATTTACTCAAGAGTAAACATTATATCTAAAATTTGTATGTCTAATGCAAAATCTATGATGTTTATATTCAAAATGATCATCAAATTGTAAGAATTCCAGCAATGTAAATTATATTCTGGCCGGATAATTTGTATGAATTTTATGAGCTAAATAAAAAAATTATACTTCACCCGTGTAAAGGGGTACACCCACAGCGGAATGTGAGCATCCTGGGTTCTGGCAGGGCACCGCGTAAACGTGGAAACGCGGAATGTGGGACCGCGTAAAGTGAGGGTTGACTGTATATTGTTTTGCGTCAAATTAGATATGTCTGATTACAGATGAAACATTCAAGACCCCCTTGTGGGTGATATTGAAAGTTTCAACAGTATTTACTGTTAGTAAAATTGTCATATAAGTTTGCGTAGAGTCTGTCAGTAAAAGTGACGAATCCCTAACATCGTCCTTGGGGATGCCCTGAATTTCCAACTGATGCTGAAGTTAGATCATTTTGATTCCCAATCATCAGAGAATCTGATGTTTGTATTGAAATTATTGTCAGTTTTATATTCTAGAAAGTAATCAATATCCTGAAAAGAATATGTCAGTCTTCTAATCTCCAAGTTCTAACGGCAATCTCTCAGTAGGCCTTTGTCTGTATTTTGATGAGGTCGTAAGAAAGACGTTGTCAGCTTGTGAGTTTGACGTTCATTTCACTATTGCCTGGCAAGCTCAAACTCTGATTAGATTGCAAACAATAGATGTAAGAAATTGATCTGACCCATGACACTGATTTTCATAGCCAAATGTACAGCAACTGATTTAAATGAAATGTATGTCAATGCGTGAATTGCCTGTTTGGCATGCCTGAGTTGCTAGTTAGCCTCATATATAAATGAGAGTTCGAGGTACAGCGTCACTTTTTGACGCGCCCCTCATCGTATCTCATGTATGTAACAAGTACCTCACGCTCGCCATATTAAGTGAATTTAATTCACGTTTTAACAGAGTGAAATTCTCATGTGCCAAGTAAGAATTAACGTAATGTAAATATCGTCTGTGTCTATGTCAGATGTATGATTGTGTGTAATTGAGTTTAGACTTTTAAAACACCTTCTGACCCATCCCTCATCGTATCTCAGGCATAGATGTCCAAAGGAGAATGTTTCTAATTTAAATTTAGAGAGGGTGACACGCTAGAAGCTATCCCCGGGAGGATGAGCTCTCTAGCCGTGCGCTGATGTGGAATCCAACCGATGCTAATAGTGCGCTTCATTTGTTGTAGTAAATACCAGTGAATGACCCTGGTGTGCTAAGCTCAGTTATATGTGCCAGGTAGTGTTCTTGTACATGATTAGGGATAATTAGCAGAAATACAATTGTCCCAAGTTGAGCATTGAAACCATAAAGTATTGATATTACCAGTGCAGTATTAGAGTTTATATGCGTTGTGAGTAAACCATCCATGTGTATGCCCAACTGAGATCTGGGCACATGTTCCATGTTGATCATTCAGAAATCACATGATGTTATCATTAACGTAGTAATATTTGTGCTATTAGCACATGTGTAAAATTACCATCTTTATTGTAAAAAAAATAAAATAATACACTAAATGAGATATAAAATGTTGAATTTTAATCGAAGATCTATTTTGTTACTTATAAATTAAGACCTAGTGGTCCATTCTTGTCTGAGTGTGTTTAAATTGTCATCTTATTCACTTTAGATTTTAATAAATATTGATTTAGTAAATTGTGAGTATCACCGCTCTTTCCCTTCTAACAAATGATTCTCAGAAAATAAACACTGTAACCGACGTGCCGAAATGCTCGTCTACCACGCTACCTAACAGTTTAACGATACCAGTTATATTCTAATAAAAGCCTGGGTGGTGGCAGTCAACCATGAAGGTATAATAATTATTCTCATAGGTGTTGTTAAAAATGATATGGTTTTCCCAGGTTAATACATTGAATAGAATATAACTAAGCACTGATAAATATTGAAAGAAGTAAGAGAAAAGATAAGAAACAAAAATAACATTGGAACAAATATTTATGAATAGAAAAGAAAGATAAAGATGATTGAAATAAATAAATAAATAAAAACATTGAAAGAAATAAATACTAATTACGAAAAGTAAAATATAGAAATAAAGTACAGTAATAAGCATACTGAAATAAAGACTTAGAAAAATTTAGTAACAAAATAATATAAATTAGAAATTAAAGGTTATATAAGACAGAAATAACACAGAAAATATAACCAAATAAATTAAATAAATTAAAGAAAGTAATATAGAAGTTATAATATATAATTATATAAATGAAAAATATCTCCTCTTACACATATTTATTAATCAGTTAAAAAAAATAGAGATAAATACAAAACTAATTTAATCCCCCCCTTATATTCATAATAAGCAAGCTGTTACAGACATACATACATACTTACATACCTTACAACCAGGGAGATAAACATTCCTTTATTCCATCCTCAAACTTGGAGTGGTGAGATATCCCTAACTCAATGAGGCGGGACACATCCATCTCAGGATCATAAGGTCTGAGTGCTCCAGCAGTGTGGTTGGGTGTAATATGGTCATGTGGAAGTGAGAAAACTCTTGACATAATCAGCATCATCTCGTACTTTGTTAATTTCTCTCTCCCACTCCATTGAAAAATTCCAGAAACTGATTTCCCCTGTGAATAAACAATGGAGAAAGGGCATTAAACTAACAAAAAAGAAAATAATGTGAATTAAAATGAAAATAAGGATTTTGTATTTAATATCAGGGAATCTGGATAAATAATGACCTGGATTGCAGATAATAAATTCACAGTTTTAAATATATACAGTAAGTCCTCGCTTAGAATGTCGTCCCGCTTAAAGTTGTTTTGGTACTACGTCGCTGAACTTTAGAGACCAAAAATCATTTAATGTTCCAATGATCTGATACTACTGTACGTTGTTTGCGTCATCACGGACTACTTTCTACGGCACATCACCCACGCTTGTCTGGCCGCACTACGCTCTCTTGGCTCGGCACGCTGCCCTCACTCGTGGAACGTCACAGCATCCCCAAGCGACGCCAAGCCAGCCTCTGTTACGAATTCACATCATTAGTGTGTACTTAAGTGCTTTTGCTCTAAAACTGTACTATAACCATTCGAAATGGCTTCCAAGCGCCCAACAAGTGCTACTGATGCTAGTGTAGTAAAGAGGCAATGTAAGACCATTACGCTGGCTACGAAAATGGATGTATTAACCCAATTTGAAAACATGGAACGTGCTGTGGACAGCCACTGTGCTGGTTTCAACGATTTAAGCGTCAGTATAACTTCCACAATATATAAAGATGACTGGTGAAGTTGCCAGTTGCCAGTTCAGATACGGTTGCTGCCGAGACATTCCTGCCAACAATGGAGGAGGAGCAAACATCAACGGAGGAGGAGGAGCAAGCAGTGGCGAAGGAACCCCAGTCAAAGAAGGAGGAGGAGAAAGCAGCCGCAGAGTCTCAGTGACTCACCACCCTCCTCCTCTCCCGCCCTCCTCCGCTCCCACTCTCCTCCTCCACTCCTGCCATCCTCCTCCTTCGCTTCACTACCCACCACACACTCACTCTACCACCTCCCATCGGTGAGTACCAATACAGATTTAGTACTGTAGTTCTCTATACTATTTTCTGTGGAAATGGCAACGATTTTCTGTATATGTATCTTTTTTCCTGGGGCAACGGGAGGCTGGGGAACGTAACTCCCATATTTTATCTACGTATTACTTATGGGGAAAATTGATCCGCTCAATGTTGTTTCGCCTAACGTCGCGTTTTCAGGAACATAACCCGGACGTTAAGCAAGGACGCCCTGTATGTCAAGCACAGTCAAACTTCTAAAATCTGATCCTCTAAAATCAATTAGTTTCTAAATTTTTTAAGGGATAAATCCCACCATGTGTTAACCACTTGTTAAAATCCCAATGGCACATGTTACTCTCTTTTCTCTGGGTCAGCGTAGATTACATTCAAGCAGATGCCATCGCTTAAAATGCATGTGTTCGTAATCAAGTTCATACTCATTTTAATATTTAATATCAAGTGATAGTGCTGACTGTAGTGCTGCAAAAATAAAGAATGTTATGCTTACAGTATTGCAGAAAGTGGAAATATTGATAAGGGTGTCTGTTCGCTTCCTTTGAGGAGATTACTGTATGGTGTTGGAAGTACAAGAGTAGTACAGGTTGTACCTCTCTAGTCCGGAATTCTGTGGTCCGGAAACTCCCATGGTCCGGAACGATTTTAGTTTGTCCAATAGGTAGTCAGGCAGTTTTTTTTTTTTTTTTTTTTTAACTTATCTGAATTATTATTATTATTACAGGAGTATTAAATTTTTGCTCCTCAGGCCCCAATGTGGGTCAGTGACCTATGCCCGGGTGGGTTAATCTCCTTAAAAAAACAAAAAAAACAAAGCCGCGTGAAATTAAGGTTTGTTTACATCCGGCAGTTTGGCTGCTCTCTCTCTCTGCTTGTCTACACAGAGTACAACAATTAACCCTTCAATATATATGAGCAGTAAATAAGTGTTGCTTTCATATTCTTATGTAGAGTAATGACGATATGTTTTCACATGTGCGCACTTACATATGCGCAGTCTCACTTTTTTTTTTTACCATTAATGGTTAGCTACTTATATTGTTCCATTTATTAACATTAAATAACATTACAGGTACTCCAAACAACCATATTAATTTTTTTACATTAATTTTACTACAGCTAAAATCAGGGTCTTATTTTCTTCAGTTTTATATGTAGAACCAATCAGTCACTGGTTTTGTAAGCTTTAACAAAAACAATGCCGGCCGCCGTCTCGTCTCCTCTAATATTCCACGTATTATTAATAAATTGTATTGTAAATTTTGCACACACACAAACATTAATTCAATTAAAACAAATTCAGAAACATCAATTAAAATATATATGAACAGTAAATAAGTGTTGCTTTCATATTCTTATGTAAAGTAATGACGATATGTTTTCACGTGTGCTCATGCGCACTTACATACGCGATCTCTTTTTTCTTTACCATTATCGTTAGCTACTTCTATTGTTCCATTTATTAACATTAATAACATTACTTAAAACAACCATATTAGTTTTACTACAGCTACAACCAAGGTCTTATTTTCTTCAGTTTTATATGTAGAACCAGTCAGTCACTGGTTTTGTAATCAACGAAAACAATGCTGTGTCATTTCCTCGTGAGTTTTAATATTCTACGTATTATTAATGAATTGTATTGCTCATTTTGCACACATAAACATTAATTCAATAAAAAGACATTCAGTAATAAACAATAATGAATCTTTTGTACATAAGAGAAATGACGCTGTTTACACGATTATGCACGTCGTCTGCACGTTGGCGGGCCATTCAAACCCATCGAAATTCAAGTTTCCGCCGTCAAAATTTTTATTTATTTATTTTTTTGTGTGTTCCAATAAAATACGTTAAGAATTAAAAACTCGCGAAATTTGAGAAGCTACTATACGACATTTAACCCTTCAATATGTCTTCAAAGAGACCATGACGCAGAGAAATTGGTGCTAGTGCTTCCAAGCATAAGCACAAGTCACTATCTATCCAGGAAAAGGGTGAATTTCCATGGTCCGGCAATTTCCATGGTCCGGCACCGGTCAGGTCCCGAGGTTGCCGGAATAGAGAGGTACAACCTGTAATATCTCCATTAGCCGGAATCCCTTAAACCCGTAACTCTCCGATAGCCGGAATTCAAATATGCTCGGAAAATCATTCCCAAGCTGGAATTTTCCAAAAAATTCTGGGTTTCGGAACAAATTTTTCGAGGTTGAAAATCGAGAGAATTTTCTGAAAATGTCTTGAATAAAGATGAAAGTTAAATTATTCTTTGGGCAGGACCGGACCTGACCTGACCAGACTCAATGTCAGGTGGAGGTAGGGTGGGGGATTAGTGGTCTCATATTACAGACATCCCCCGCGTTATGGAAGGGTTGCGTCCCTGGAAAATTGACGGTATCGCGAAATTCTGTAACACGAAACCTATTTTCCCATTGACTTCCATTATAAAACTGAAGATGCATTCCTAAGGAATTTTTTTTCGGCCTCACAAAAGTAATTCAAGCACTTTTATGAATGAAAATAAACATTTATAAACACATACAATACAGTAGATTAAAAAATTTATGATATACAGTTGGCCCTTAACATACGCGGGGGTTAGGTAACAGAGATACCCGTGAATGTTAAGAATCCAAGTATTTTTGCTGCCCCCCCATGTCCTTATTTACCGTATATACCTGTGTGTAGTTCGAGTTTTTAATACCAAATTTTTTGGCAAAATATTGGGGGTCGACCTCTAAACGGGCAATAGTTTCGTTAGGTTGAAAAATATTTACCAATAACTACCAGTAAACAATAGAAGCGACGCACCACCAGCTGTGAGTGTCAGTACAGTTGCCAGGGCAGATCTCTTGCGTTATCATAGCAAGCCCAAAGTAGCCAAATGCATGGTATGGTATGCACAGGACGATGTAAAACATAAAGTATTCATTTTTTCAAGTTTATTTATAGATACTGTACAAAAATTTTTGTTCATTACACTTGAAACATCAATCTTTGTTAATTAAATTTGAAACAAAAGAAAACTACGATACAGTATTTCTAAATACCTGGTATTTTCATTAAAATATTACATCACAAGTATATTTAACTTTAACTGTGGCTGAATGAATATATTCTCAGAAATAAATATGGAAATGTAATACTTTTGCTGAAATGACGTACGTATTACAGTGGAAAGTGGGATAAAATCATGACGAAAACAATGACTTTCGCTTTCTTTCGTTGTTCACAAGATTTTACCGTGGAACAAACCTGTACTGTACATGTACTAAATGATTACGGTACTTAAATTGTTATGTCTATTGCAAATATAGATTGTTTATACAGGTATTCAAATAAATCACTATCTTACAAGAATATCAGCAATGTAAGTTATATTCACCCAGGTCGTTTGGGTGGCAAATTATGAGAAGAGCTTAGTCACTCTTAAGTAATGATAAATAAACATGTAGGCCTTCAGGGCCAACTGTCACATCTTATCTCAAATAAATAAACAAACACCACACTCTGTCACCTCACCTCCCTCCGCCCCCCCCCCATGCTCGCTAGCTCCCTCCTTGTGTTCCCAGACAAAAGATTGGTGATAACTTTATTATTTAAGGTGTTTATTTTATAAAATATCTCAGACTAAAGTTAGGAGATTATAATTTGGATTGCTGGAATCCTTGCAAGACAGCCAATAATTTGAATATAAACGTCATATATTTTGCTCAAGATATAAAAATGTAGTACATTACTGTACAATACTGTGTAGTACATTTTATAATACAGTATAAAGTTTTCAACTGTATTTTTGGGTAGATTTACATAAATTTCTTCATTTATTTTCATCCATTTACATGCACACACAGTACTAAAAGAAATAAATGACCTTAGTGCAAAGCTGGAGTGTACATGTACAGATTTCATTACGGTACTAAAATCGTTATGTCTAGTGCAAATTAGAGCATGTTGCTATTCAAATTAATCAGTGTCTTACAAGAATCCCAGCAATGTTAATTATATTCTCCCAGGTCATTTCACTGGCATTTTAAAATGGGAGAAGCGTAGTAGGACTGTTAAATAAAC